TGAGACAGAGTCTCACTTTATCACCCTTACCATGGCATCATAGCTCACAGCAACCTCAAACTCTTGGGCTCAAACTCTTGCCTCAGCCTCCTAAATAGCTGGGACTACAGGCGCCCACCACAATGCCTGGCTATTTTTAGAGATGAGGTTTCACTCTGGCTCAGGCTGGTCTCCAACCTGCGAGCTCAAGGCAATCCACCCTCTGCAGCCTCCTGTAGTGCTAGGATTACAGGCATGAGCCACGGCATCCAACCTTGGGCCTTATTTTTAAAACTAAAACTCAGAATATGGAGACAACAAAAAATATTTCCCCTCTTCAGTAAAGAATTGATGGAAATTGTGTGGCATTTTCATCTATAAAGGAATATAATGTAATTACCTTTCCTGATTAACTATTAACTCAAAACAGAATAAACTTCTTCATATATATACACATGTATTTGTACAAACACGTATGTATGTATATATTTTTTTCATTAGTTAATTTTCATTTATTCATTTCTCTTTCATTTATCTTCCTGATTCTCCTGAATTTGGCAACACTTTATCCAGCACCTGCCATGGGTCATCACTGGGCCAGGCAGCTGACGGGAACAAGTGGCACAGGCCCCACCTCTAGGAGTTCACATTCTCATGGAGAAGGTAGTTGATAAACAAGCAAATGGAAGCAAACCGAGGTGATTATATATAATTATGTGAGAGAGAATGGTAAGCGGGGGAATGGATGACTTAAAGGGACCAGGAAAGGGTGAGTCTGCAAAGAATGTTGAAGGAGCTACCATGACATCCTGATGAGTGGGTTCATCAGAGGCAAGTGCAAAGGCCCTGAGGCAGGAACAAACTTCTGTTTGAAGAACAGAGTAGGAGACTGGTGTGACTGTGGAGCAGTGAGCAAGCTTGTTTCCTCACTGTCACTTAAACTTCATTTCCTCATGACTATAGTTTGCCTTGGCTTTCTGACAGCATTCAAAATAATTCAAAATAATTTTTTATTATTTATACAAGCATAGGTTTCTCTGGGAAGTCTTCCCGGGTTAAATTACCATGTCAATGCTCTCTTTCTGAGTTCCTGTGCCCTCTGGGCTTCACTGATGCAACTGATCTCCTCCTGTACCAACCATTAGACTGAAAACTTCAAGAGGGCAGTGACTCTGTGGGCTGTTGTTCATCCATCTATGTATCAGCAGCCCCAGTTCATTGTCTGGCACAGAGTGGGTGTTCAGTGAATGTTTTAATAATTAGATAGTTAGGGCAATGGTAGACAAGCCTGGAAAGTTAAATTGAGTTAATGCTGAAAAAATATATAAAATGGTGGGCTAGAAAGTATATGCTTGGTTCCATAGACCATGCGGGTCCACAGAGAAGAACGTGAAAGAAACTGGGGTGAGATTTTGGTGGGCAGAACCATGACAGGCAAGTGAGTGGTGTAATTGAAATTGGGCTCTAGAAAGGCCCATCATAAAACCCGACAAAGGGAAGAGTGGCAAAGTGAGTAGCATGGAGGGACAGAGACCGGCAAGGGGCTGTCA